AAGAGCTGATGCAAATGGAATGGTAGGCTGAGGATGTGACATGAAGACATACAACCAGTAAGAAGAATGAAAGAACTTATCCACTTTTTATCCTAGTTGGAGTGGTGCTTGCATGTATCATACCACGCTCACCATCCGCCCACTGCACTCACAACGACACCATTAATGCCGCCAAAATTATTTTTTGCCTGACACCTCACTCTAATTTTGACTCACAAATGACAGGGATCTGCCGTGCAGGACACAAAACAATCTCAACATCCCTGATTAATAATTACCACCCCAGACATTAGCTACGAATAAATAGTTAAATAAAATCAAGTCAAAATAATGCATGGGGATATAGATTAACCCCTGCAGTTTTATAATTGGTCAAATTAAGCGAGATGGTGAGAAGAGATTAGAAGTCCTTTTCCACTCTTGTTCCTTAGCGCATGAATATCGATGGTTCATCAATTAATAGGAGGCTTTTCACTGTGTGTACTCCTCAATTGATACCATAATTACACCGTATTCATGTTCATTTCTCCTTTTGACTATAATTCATTTGCATTGGCAGGTTCCTAAATTATTATATTTGCATTTATTATTGTAATCTCTCTTCACCTTTACCTTGCAGTTGCCCCTGTACTAATGTTGCCCTACTTTTAATATTATCTACATATTCCCCTTGTCTGATTTTTGGCGTTTAAAAATTTTATCTTAACTTCTCATTACTCCACTGATTTAACGACAGTACAGTCCTTTACTACCACAGCACTGATCAACTTTCTTCTACTGCATCGGTACTGGATCCTACGTCTAATAACACCCATGTTGCTATCCACTGGTCCATAGACATACCATAATATATTTCTAATTCCAATAACAATATATAATAAAATCGAAACAGTATCATATACTTGTGTGCTATACAATTTTTTTTATGCGTGTACAATTATTAGATATAGTATTACTATTGACACAATTAAAGTGGTTTTGATAATTGCGACCTTGATCGAAATGATTTAATTTTGGTCAAATATATTTAGTGTCTGGTTTTCCCTTATTTGGTTTATCAGCCGGACTTTCAGGATTGTAATATTGTGATTCCTACTGATCTACACACTCCGAAAGCAGGAAAGGGTGCCAGAGATAATGCCACCAATAAGCTGGGATGCCCATACCGCCGTAACCGCATTCAATAAGAAAGCAAGAAGATAGAAGAAGAAAGAAGAATGAAGAAGAATCAGAAGAAGAAATCGAAGTTACCAATATACTCCCGGCAACCGTCTATTTCGCCGGGTGGCAGTATCATGGCACATGTTTATTGAAAATATGTGTAAAAAGGCAATGCTTGCAAAGAAAAGATATATTATAAAAAAAAACGCAGAAGCAAATGAAAATTGTTGATAATGTCCTGTGTGCTTACTGGTTGTAGTATATTTCTTTGGTTGGCGGCTCAACACGCTTATTGAATTGATACAATCTAGTGTAAACTGTCGTTATTACCTGGCGTGAAAAAATTGTGCACCATCTCTAGCTGGAATTCTCCCATTCTGCTCGGCACGCATATGGGCAGTGTTGCCATGCAGTTCGTTGCGTATCGCCAAAATCCTATTGTACCGGCCGAGGTGGTTATACATTCCAAAATAAATGCGGAGCATTCGCGGGCCCCCTCCCACCGTTCTTGGTACTCCCACAAATAACCCCCCATGGTCTCCTTTCATTGGTTCGTGGGAGGGGCCCTGTGGGTCTTCTCCTTCCTGGACACTTGGCCCCTGGACCATGTGTACATTTTCGGCCCTCAGCATCAGATAGCCATTGTTCTCCACAACAGGCCGGCCCAACCGAGGACATTTCATTAGGGTAGCGCTATTCACACAAGCTACTAGTCTAGCTATACTAGCTGCAGACTTAGCCTAAATTAGCTACATTTTAATGATTATAAAATTAATGGAGATCTGGTCTAGTATTGTAGCTTATAATTAAGAAGGAAATATTTAAGGTTTATTATACAGTAGAGCTATTCGTCAGAATTTAGCAGGTTGGGATGTTCCTATATATTGTAAATGTAATGAAACATGTACAAAAAGGATGAGCTGCTAACTGTATCGTCAATGGACTTCTATCACCAGGAGAAGATCTTCGAACTGAGTTCACCAGCTAGATCCTGCATTTAATTTAGACTGTATCCCATCTGCACTTTGAGAATTATTGGCAACTGTTTTTCCTACGATACCACGCATGACAAGCTATATTAGCAGACTTGTCAAGTTACATCGATGCAGACGAGTGGAATGCGGGTGTGAGCCATGAGGAAGGATCAGTTAGAAACAGTAGTTCATGATGTCTACAGGGTGGGCCAAGGCACTTGACACACGAAACCACAAAAAACTATTGGAAGATCTGTACCGGTAAAAAGAATTTTAGTCCTTTGTGGAGAAGCCCAGACCACTATATTCAACTTTGGGGTCAGAAACATCATCTAGTTACAGACCAAAATTTAGCGCGTGGTTAAAGAGAAAGAGAGGCCTGAAACACGGGAGGCAGACCCTGGTGAGATTTTGAAACTCTCTAAAGACGCATGCTTACATCGCAGCTAACACAAACCCCTCAAAGGATGGGTTGTTTTTTAAGGAAGGATATCGTTTGTAAAACACAAAATCTCCCTCCATTACTGTTATAATTTTTTCCCAATTTAATATACCATTTAACTAATTGTAGTTGGTATCAACTCGGTTGTGACACTGCCAAAATTCCAACATCCATATTTGTATGCAGAGACGGCTGAGGAGGTAAGTAGGACAAACAGGTGGGGACTTACTCGGGTATGTGGGGTCACTGATGATGCTGTGGGCTCTGCTCCTGTATTAGTAAAGGATGTGTGCCCAGCTACAGGGTGTGGTGTTAAATCCAAGTCCATGGATTTTTCAGCTAGCTTTGTGTACTGAATGCTAAGCTGAAATCCCTAAAGAGCATTTTTAACAAAAGTGTTCTATTTGTCCAGGTGAGTCAGTGCAAGGTGAATGGCTGTGGTGATCCTCAGTGGATTTGGGTTGCCCGGTAGGCAAACTGATGCGGGTCCACGGTGTTCAAGACACAAAAAGGCAGTGAGTTTGAAGGTAGGCCTAAATAAGAGTTACACCTCAAGTTTACTCAAATTATGTCAATTATCCTATTCAAAGCTTCTAAAGCCATGACATCATATTCTATTCTAATTCTGTCCCACTGGAATTGTGATATAGTGAATTGTAAGTGAAATAATCAGTCTCTAAAATAAAACTAAACTACTATAAAAAAAATCCTCAATTCACAAAGTAGATGTCCAAATCAACTTTCCAAAACTATAACATAACATAAAATCTGCAGTGTGATTAAAATCACACTGCAATTTGACTTCAACTTAAGTGTATGTAAATGTCTGACTTAAACTGTACATCATTCTACACAGTAAAGCTCAAACATCGAACTGTAGGAACAAGAGTGGAAAAGGACTTCTATTTTTAAATTCTGTAGTGAAATTATACTGATTAATCTAACCCCAATGCATTGACTTGATTTTATTACTATTTACTAATGTTATGTGTAATTATTATCAGATGTTTAGATTGTTTTGTGCCTGTGCAGATCCCTGTCATTTGTAGTCAAAATTAGAGTGAGGTGTCAGGCAAAAAAATAATTTTGCTCATTAATTTCTTTATCAGTTCATTGACTTAGATAATCAGACCACTAAATGATAAAGGGATAAGTTCTTTCATTTCAGGTTTTATTGCTCATTCACACATTCATGCAAGCTTTCCAACATCCATATTTGTATGCACACAATCTTCCATGAGCAGTAGATTATATATTTTAAATAAGTAAGGAGATGCCAGTCAAATCTATTGAAACAAAATGAAGACTGGAAAAATTTACCTTTTTTTCTGGTAATTTTCAAATTTAATGAACTTAACAAATTCAACCCTTCATGTAATAATGATGTGTAGATACAGATACACTAACACTGAAATCTTAGGAACCTTTCATGTTTTTCAAAAAAAATCCAACATAAGGCTAACTAAGTTTCAAGATGAGGTCAAAACAGCAGAGTCCAACTAATAGACTAACCATTTATAGCAGAGCTGCTGGTTTGAATTGAGGAGGCAGAGAAACATTAACACACCAGTATGAAAAAGCAAAGGACTGCATCTCAACTGCCTTCTGTAGTAAAGCAATAATTCCAAAACAGCCTGTAGTGAGTATATACAGTACATACTTATACATTCGTATGTGTATAGGTCCTAGTTCCTCATATAATGTTGTAGTTAACTTGAAAATTCAAAATCAGATGATAAGGCATTTCAAATCTATTCCAGCATGATAAGCAGTCAAGCTCTGAATGGACTCTGCTGCGATGCCCCGCACTGTATCTTCAACTAGTGTAGTGTCTGCCTTGGTTAAAGCCAGCTTGGTTGTAGTGCTGCCCACCATGTTGGAAGAACTGTTCAAACTGTCCTCCTTGATTAAAATTTTGACCCCCTCTCCCTCCCCAGCCTCCTCCTTGTCCTTGTCCTCCTCGACTTCCTCTTCCCCTGCCCCCCCGACCTCCTCGAACCCCACCTCTTTCCTGATGCCAGCCTCCATCTTGGTGGTAATTGTCATGGTAACCGCCTCCTCCATGGTAGCCAGGGTCCTGGAAACCTCCTTGGTTGTTCCCTCCTGCTCCGTAACCACCTCTCCCTCCTCCTACCTGATGCCCTCCTGCATCTTGATAGTGACCCTGATTGTAACCGACTCTCCCACCTCCATCTCCCCAGCCTCCTTGCACCTTCCCCCCTCTGCCACCTCCTCCTCTGCCTCCCCTGTCTCCATGTCCTCCTCCGCCTCCTCTCTCATATCCTCCACGGCCACTTTGGGAGTAGTGATCATAGCCCCTGCCCCCTCCGTGTCCACTCCCACTATAGTGTCCTCCACCTTGGGGAGCATCCTGACGCTTCTGCCAGGAGGGCATCTCTGGAGGAGGAGGTTCAATCTCACAGGGTCTGCCTCCCCTGTCTGGGACTCGGCCCATTAGGACCTGAGAAAAGGACATAAGGCAGTTCAAAAGGATGTGCACTTGCACCTCTAAATTTGACCCCACTTTTGCTTGTTGTTTCTATAAGATTACATTTCTGTCAGTTTGACTGGAAATTATGTGTAAGAAAAGGGACAACTTAAATTCATCAGATGCTAGCGCTGCAGTCATTCAGAATCAGAAATACTTTGTGATCTCAGGGGGAAATTTGTTTACATGAGTAGAAACCTGTCGAAATACTGAGTTCATCATCAAGGCATTGTTTAACTGATTGGTATCAGCTATGTTGAGCTTTATTGACCCAATCCAATGTTTTATTTTACATCAGTGGACACACAGCTGTTTTTAATCACAAAGCTTTCATGCACGGTGCAGCCAACAAATCTCTCCATTGTCACTTTCCTCCAATCTGCTCTGTGTGTTAGCAGAGTTTCATTGTGGCTGGGCGCTACAGCTGTAGAGAGCTGACAAAACCACACTCACCATGCTACAAAAGCCCTGCTAACAAGAAGCGTAATTAATTACTCTAATCCGCGCAAAAGATGTAGAGACAACGGAAATAAACACTCGGCAGAATACAAACAGGACCAACAGGTTTGTTATTTTATACTTTGCTTAAAAAAAATAAAAATACATTAAGGAACAGCTTTGGCTTTTTTTCTTAATGCATTGCAGAGCTATTCAGTTGTCAAGCATATACATTGGATTGATTTGAATAACTGCACTACACTTGAAGTATGCACTTTGCACCTGTATTATATAAAAAATATACAAGTATTGGACTGGGACTCGGTATCACAAGACACTTTATATATTTAATAACTCGGATTGGATTGGGGGCTAAAAAAAAAATTTTAAAAAAACTTGACAGGGACATCCCTAGTCGCTGATAAAAGTAACTTCAGAATGCTCTATTTCAGTATTTCAGTAAATCTAGACTCCAACTCCAGACAGAAATTGTTCAAGGGGAGACAAATGTAGGACAATAGGTGAATAGAGTAATTTTGAGAGAACCTTTAAAAGATATGCATTGTAAAAGTTTAGCAAGACACTAAGGTGAATAAGGTAAAACAATTTAGATATAGATAGAATATATCAAGATGCAACTTCCCCAGTTAATTACTTACATTAACACAATTACTTTTACATTTTCTGAAATTGTATGTTTAAATATGCAAATGAGGCATTGTCTAATGCTAAATTTTGGTGAATTTAGAAGAAATGTACATACACTAATAGACAAAATGTAGTAAAATAAACACCTAAATTGGTATTTTGGGCATTTTCCTTCCAGTAGTCATAAAGGAGTTAAATAGCCCACAATTGAGCAGTGCATGACAAAACGATGTTTTTGCCTGTATTGTCTCATCTTCAGTGTAAGTACATATGGCTCAGTGTCACAGTGATTGTGTGTTTCATTTCTGCCTGTTTTAGCACACAACACACTAAAAGGTCATGTCAGACTTCCTCACATCTCTTTTGAGCAGAGAAACAGGACAACAAAACAATGTATTAATAACACAAGAAATACGAAAAAAAACTGTGACTACACTGTGTTTAACCCACCTTATTAATGGCACAAGCAGTCTTCTCTCTTATCTTGCCACTGCTTGTACGTAGGATTTTGGAAATGTCTTGTCGAGCAGCAAGAAGGTGGGAAACAGAGATTTTACTTTTGGTGCCGAGGGAAGAACGCAGTGGCTGGTAAACTTTGGACAACTTTTCAGCATGTGTCTGTAATAAGACAAACAAAAGGAAATCCTTTTTTTGAAAGCAATACATCAAGTACTGTATCAGTCATATATCATATATATGTATATGTGTTTTGCAGCAATGATTTGTTTTTCTTTGGATCAGGAAGCTGTTGCTTATACGTTGTATTATTGTGAGTTATGCAATCAATTTGGGGTAGTAATTTTAATGGTATGACACAAAAATAAATAATTTATTGTATTGCAGAAGATAAGGCCAACACACAATACTTTGAGGAACAACAAAAAAACATTAAGATATTTCTATTATAGGCAAGCAGAAGCACTTCTACAAGATCTACTTGGACAAGAACAATTGTTATCAGATACTGACAGACCTGAGAGGAGTAGTGTTGCCGTCTATATTGGAGTCAGAAGTCAGGTCAGAATATGATCAAGTTCAGAGCTGCAACAAGGATTTGCTACATTTCCTTTGCTTACATTAGTAAATCTAAAGATTGTTATCTTTAAACCAATATATATAACCAACCACACTCTCCTGCTGAGAACAAAGAGCAGACTCACAGACAAAAGAGGCCTAGCTATTGCTAAAGCAAACACCAAGTGTACAAAGACTTCCTGATTAAGTGTATTACGTGTGCTTCGTCAGTGCACTGTGCCCTTTTCAGATTTAGGAAGATCCACCTACCTTTGCTCTGTCAGACCAACCAAAAGACTGCACTGTCACATCGAGACGTTTCAGCAACATTTTTCTTCTCACTTCATACTCATTTACAAGTGCTTGGTTTATAGCTTCAATTTTTTCCTAGAAAACAATGAGAAGAGAAAATGTATTTATTCTGTCTTTCATTTCTGCAGTTTTCCTCAATTATATAGTATTTCTACATAATTGTTTTTGTTTTACCAAGTGCAAAGGTCCAAGGGCCTTCTTCATCAAAGGCTCTCCTACATGATTTGGTGGGACTCTACTTATGGCTTCTTTCAGCTAAAAAAAATGGAGAACATGCAGATGTGTATAGTATGAAAGTATAAATGGACAGTTAAAAACAAAGATCAATGAGCAGACTTACAAAAGAAGTAATGTGTACAACTAGATTTCTTCTGACTGTGACTTTAGCTAACATGGCAGTATGTTAGCTGCTTTCTTCTGCATATCGTTATATTTTCATGCCAAAACATTCCAAACAATATAGGCATTTCCTGTGAGGACAGAAAATCCTGTGGAAAAGGATTCACATAAAAGTGACAAATAATACTAGGATTGAAAAAGAATTGTGAGAGGTTTTCAGTTCTTGAAGTAGCTTTTAAGTAATGTTTACAAAAGGAAAGTTACTAGATAAACTTTATAAAGTAATACCACACAGAAAAAACATCTAAAATGTCTATAAAATAAAAAAAGTTCAAATACAAATTAAAGCTGCAAGCAGCATTGGGTGGGACCTCGCCATCAACCTACGTCGGGGCCTGCATGGCGGTCACCCGCCGCAGCCGTGCCATGCAACGTCAACCCACGCCCAACTCATCGCTGCAAGCTGAGGGAGGTCGCTCTACATTGTGACACGTTTCAGACACTGTACAAAAGACTTATGCGTTCATAGTGAGACTCTTCACTGCAAACTATGGAAATTCAGCACCCTGCCACTGACACGCTGTTTGACGCACAGTAAATATTTGATTAACTTTTGATCACCAATGTGTTTAGATTGCAGTGATCGAATTTGAAGTCAATCCGATAAAATCTGTAGGAGGAGTTACTTCAAACTGAAACCCTGAAATGCTGGAAACGGCATCTCACGATCACACAACTTTTAAATTAGCAAAATTTTTTAAGTGTACTTTCCAATTTTGAAGTAGATCCAATAAGTCCCCTATGAGGAGTTTGTTCAAATACAAGGCAAAAAATTCAGAGAAAGTGGCCACAGAATTGGCCGACCTTCTGTTGGATTTGGGTTATAGGTCCAAGAGGCTTTTTTGCTTGTCCCATCATAATACACATGCTTACCAATTTTCGTACATGTCGGTC